AGCCATTATTGATTTCCTATTAGCTTGTTTTGGAAGCCCTGTATTGCTTTCATTGTTTTGTTTTGACTGATTTTATTCAGTTTTTTAAATTATATCACATCTGATGGTATAGACAACTACTTTGAAGATAACTAGATGCATTATGATACCCACTATGGTTTTACTATTGTTTTATTTTGAAGTCCTGTACTGCTCCTATTGTTTTGTTTTTATTGGTTTTATTCTGTTCTATTTTATTTGTGTTTATTATGCCTGATGGTATGGGCAATTCTTTTAAAGATAACAAGAGGTATTATGGTAGCCATTATTGATTTCCTTGTATTCTGTTTTAAAATCATGTTTATTTTGTTTTAATTGAATCTATTCTGATTTATTTCATTTGGTTTTATTCCTTTCAAAGTAAAAACAAATTTAAGTGCTTGCTTCGGCAGCATATATACTAAAATTGGAACAATATAGAGAAGATTAGCATGGCCCCTGTGTAAGGATGACACGCAAATTAGTGAAGTGTTCCATATTTTTTGTTGGATAATTGAACAGAACAGTTTGCACTCTCATTGTTTGATTGTCCACTTTCTATGTTTTAATTTTGTGACTTGAACAACTATTTCTAAGATAACAATATGTAATTTATCAACTAGTGATTTCTTAGTTGTAATTCTTTTTAATTCTGCATTATTTCTACCCTTTTTTCTGTTTTGCTTTATTTTTTCTCTATAAATTAAAAAAAAAAAACACCAGAACTAAGATAGTTTTAAAAAGTGAAAAAAAATAATAAATTTAAGAAATTAAAAACAAACTATACGGGGGCTGGGGATTTAGCTCAGCGTCATAAGCAACTGCCTTGCAAGCAGGCAGTCTTTGAGTTGGATCCCCGGTACCGATAAAAAAGGAAAAAGACCAAAAACAAAAACCCAAAAACAAAAAACAAAAACTATACTATAGCAATTTACCTTCAATATAAGCATATTAAAGCAAAGTTCTTTTTCTAAAGCTAACGAATTGCTCTTGTTTCCAAATCCCGAAAACATTTCATAATCAAGAAATTTTCTTGGAATTCTATTTGTCAAAAGGAAGGAAGTAAGAATGGGAGGAGAGGAGATAAGACATAGTAATAGACACTGGATATGATCAAAGTATGTTATATGCATATATCAAAATGGCACATCGAAACCCAATATTTTGATACTAAAAAAGGAATAGTTCTTGGCTCAAATACACTAGAAAAAAATACAGAGGCCAGGTGCTGTGTAGCACACCTGTAATCCCAGGTATCAAGACCTTGTCTCAAAATAAAAAATATAGATCTCAGTGGTAGAACACTTGCAAAGCATACATGAGTCCTGAGTCCAATCCTCAGTGCACACACACACACACACACACACACACACACACACAGACTAGTCCTGGTTATTAGACAGATAATAGTGTGCTGATTGCACACTGATTCCATTAAGAAACTAGAATCTAGGATAAGCACATGTATACAAACATTTTCCTTCACATTATCTCATTGACCTTCGCAATTTAGTGACATTGTGACACCTTCATTTTACCAATGAGAAAATGGTAACATAGTCAAGTTCACTCAGCTGGGGGATCACTAGCTAGAGTTTGGAATACTGTCCCAATATTTCACCAAGACATATTGTTTCTCTTTGAAATAAAAATTCAATCCTTGCTGGAGGCAAAGCACACATAAAACAACATGAAAATTATTGTATAGCTATATTTGATTTTAAATGAATATTTAAGTATACAAACAAATTAGACTCAGAAAATTAATTGTGAAAAGCTTCCTAGGGAATATGCATGTTCACTCATTACCAGAAGATGGTAGACACAGCTAGAAAAGAAGACAAAAGGCTTCCCTGGTTGGAGGAAGGTTTCTCTTCCAATGATTTCCTTTATACGCCACAAGTTTCCTTGCCTATAGACTGAACTGCTAGATACACAATACATAACCAAACAAAAAGGATTTTGACATTTTAAGAGTTATGATCTATAGTATTTCATAATTTTCCTGGTGGTTTCCAATCCTAATGAACATCAACCAGCATTCCTGCTCTAATGGCGTTTTTTCCTCCTCAGGATTTTTGTCCTGATTATTTTCCAACTACAAGATGGCATGCTGCCTTTTCATTCATTAACTTTATTGGCTTCTGTCAGTTTCAAACCTTATGTACTGTACTTTCTGGGCTAAATGTTAAAGAGTTAAAATAAAATCGCTTGCCATGCATAAAGCTTTCTTCACAGAATGACTTGCCAAAAGTGACCTAGCTAACCATTTTTTAATACCTCGTTAATTTTACTTTTAATTTCTTCCAAGTGAAGCATAAAAAATGTTTCTATATACACACTTGAACAATGTTTTCGCCGCCTCCCCTTTGCAATTAATGTTTCTGTTTGTGCATGTTATGCCAAATGGAAATACATCACAAATACTTGGACTCTGCGTTTCAGCAGTGTTATATAGTGCCCCTTATTTGCCAAACACTTATCCATAACTGCTATTAAATCTTGGCAATTATCTGACTGAAGCCTTCATTTGAACTTGCTATTTACCTAACCTTCTTTGTACCCGTGTGAGGTTTTAGCTTCCATCTTGGCCACTTTATTATACTCTCTCCAGCTCTCCAGCAGCTAAAGAGCCCTTCTGTGACTTCTAAAGTGTCTTGGGAGGGTTGCCTCCCTTGGGATGTAGATACTGCAAGCACTAGATGTTTAAGTTAATCCCTTTGTTTTGCATTATTTGTTTTATTTCCTTAAAGCAACAGCAATAAAGCATTCCATTTGCATTTCATCTTTTTCAGCTTGCCTTTCAAAAACCCTTATCTGGTATAGGAAAAAATGTCAATCTATAGCTTCCTGATAACTCAAACTGCATTTGGTTGGGGGCAAGGCAAGGGATGGCTGGCTATTAGCAGGCAACTATGCTCCTTCCCTGGTATCTTATTCATATGGAGCACTTCCTGTTTTGTTATGCATCCAACAATCAAGCTAACAAAGCACTGTTTCCTTCCACTATTTTTATTTTCCTGATGTTTTGGAAAATGACACTAATAGATTATGTTCCCGAGCAGGCTGTAGTTGTTTCTGTTCTTTGGAGTTGAGTCACTGTACCACTTTCCTACAACTAGCCCCATTGTTTCTTTTTAAAGAAGGACAAAGAAAGCAATTTTTCTTCAAAAAAGAAACCGTTTCTCCTCCAACTTGCTTTCCTCTCCTTGACAGAATACCATTGTTTAGCTACATGTTTAAACTGAGTGGTAGGCCAGCTATTTCATCAGTACAGGCAACAGATCTCAAATTCACCATTTGCAATCATAGCTCCTATAGGTTTATAGATTTTCATATAAATGATTCATCAAATAGAAAAAATTATTGAGAATAAAAGAATTACATGAATGGTGCAGATAGGTATTAGGGAGAATTAAAGCAAATAAAATACAGTGGTTCCTAGCCTTCATTTATTTCCAAGATCCTGGAAAAATGCCAGCTTCTAGAGGTTACTATCAATCAAAACGTGAGCCTGACATTTCAGAAAGAACCACTTTCTAATTTCAAGTTGAAGTTCAGATGGTCTTTAGTAATGCTAGTTTCTAACAATCTTTAGAGAAAATTCTCTTTCTAGGAGGAAATGTATGTCTGCTTCTGTGATTTCTAGAAGAAATGCTGTTTCATAAGCATTCACAAGTAGTCCTAAGCACCACAGATAAAATAGTACTTACCAGATATTTTATCAGAACTAATTTTTCTTTGAGATATTTGAGTATTGGGAGACACCTAGGTAATTCATATTTCTGTGGTCATGGGTCAAGATGCTGAGACCCAATGAATGAAGCCCAAGACCCTATTAACTGCCTAGTTAGCAAACAAGCCTAAAGACTTCAATGCAAAAAGGGACCTGCCACAGAGCAGCTCAAGTCACCCAAGTATTCCTCTTCCGAGCACCAGGGCAGGCGCAGAATGCAACTGTGAAATCAAATCCTCCCACAACTTCCCATTTCTTAGCATCCTCTAAACTGCAGCACAGCAGACCAGCAGAAACCCAAGGCCTTGATTATAACCTTTACACATCCCTTTATGTCAAAGTATGTACCTTTTCCTAGAGACAAACATGAGAATGTTGTAGTAAACTTTGTCTCTCCTATCAAGTATTACAATTGTATTAAAGTTTTTATGGCCGAGGGTTTTGCTCAGTGGCATTAGCACCTGCCTGGCAAGAGTGAGGTTGTGAGTTTGATCCCCGGTACCAAAAAAAAGAAAAAAATTAGACAATTGTATTAAACTTTTTAGAGAAGATAGTGTCCCTTCATTGTGGATGGCAATAGTGAATATGTAGGAGGGCTACCTTACTCTAAGTTGTCTCATCATAAGAAAACTTAAAATAGGAGTCTATTCCCTGGGGAGAAGAGAGCCTTTCAAACGTGCAGGGTAATCTATTTAAGGCGGTCAGTTGTACAAATGACCCCACAAAGTAACTTGCAGCAAAGTCATTCGATGAGAACTAAAGATGAAAGCAGAGCTGGAATTTTAATATAACTCACTGAGATAAACAGAATTTGAGTTGCATAGAAACATTCTTTTATGCACATATACACAAGATACTAGGCAACTCTTAGCTTGTATGATGGTTTGGTGTTTAAAGTCATCTCCTCTTTACGGGCACACCACCCCTGTGAGATCACAACTAAGAGAGTACAGGTAAAATTTTAGTCCTGTCTTTTCCTCCCAACCTCACTTTCCAATGAGGGACAACCAGCAAATCCATCTCAACAATCCTGAAAAGAGCTCGCTTGGAAGCATAGTCACCTACTTGAAAAAAATATACAGACGATTTTTCTTAAAATGATCAAAAAGAAAAAATCATTTGTATTAAGACACCATTGCTCCAAAAGATGCAAATATAGTATAGCAAGTGTTCCCTTGAGTCCCTAGGCAGGGGTCTCTTTCCGTGGCTTTGTTCTAACACACGGTTTTTTCCCCTGTGAGACCAGGGCGGTCTCTGTGCGTACTCAGGTGTGATGGAGAAGTTGCAGTACGCCAGCCTCCTCGGCCAGCTACAGAGAGTGAAGGAGCAGTCCCAAGTGATTAATCAAGCAATGGCAGAACTGGCAACCATCCCCTATCTACGGGACATCAGTCACCAAGAGGCAGAATTGGTATTTGTTTTTCTTTGTTTAAGGCTTTCACAGGCCCTGAGCTACCCGAAGAGTGATAGGGTCTAAAAAAAATTGTGATAATAAATGGAGTCTGGAGGAAAACTCTCTGCCCTCCATGAAGCATTTTAATGAAGAAACTGGAAAATGCAGGGGTATCTGGTTATAATTTGCTCACAGTGACTATTTTCTATCCCTGACGGCAAGAATTTTGTAATGTATAAAAACATAAAAAAGGAGTTTTTTATAAACAAAATAACCATTCACATTTTGTGTCAGGTTTTCTGCTTTAAGTAAAATGAAATTTTAATAAACTGCTGCTTAAACTCTAAGATATGTTCGTATATGATTTTCTTCTTGAAAAAAAGCAGACAAAAGAGAGTAGGTGTAAAAATACAACCTTACACAATGGTCCTTGGAGTTTTCTTAATCAGTTTAGATTACCATATATTTTGGCAGTGAAGAGAAAAATGTAGTTAGTCAAAATAACTGCGTTTTAAACTGAACTTACTGGTTAGTTCAGAAAACCAGATATTTTGGCCTAATGCATAGCCAGTCAAAAACTAGTTAGTTGAAGGAATAGCTCACGGGAAGACTTCTCAAACAGCCTGAGTATTAAAATCATAATTAATATTAGAAATTGTAATACTTCATTTGAAAATTAATTACTAAACAGTATGCTTCCCATACAGAGAAACATAAAATTTATTTTATATGGAGAGCCTAATGTGTTGTAGGGGAGGGTTCTTTACTTTGAAGCTTTAATTGAGAGTACCTAAAACTAATTATAGGCCTGAATTGAATTCACCTAGCGAGGATGAGAACAGCCCAAACTGATTACCTGTAATTTTCAGATAACTATAAGAATCCTCCCTGTTTGAGCTTTTGAAAATGTAACCAAGAAATGAGCTGCCAGCATATATAGTGTTCATCTAAACCTGTTAAAAAGTATATTAAATAAGTACTGATATCAGAGTACGCATATGAAATGGTCTGTCTAACCAAAGAATAAAACCATGCATACTAAAGACAAAAACTCTGAAGTAAGTCTATTAATCAAGGAATTACTATTCAAGCAGGCAATGGTATTTTCTAAACCTTTATGGGTATGTGTAGAACACCATCTAAAAGGCTAAGTGTTTATCTTGCCATTCATAAGGCATTCAGGAATATGGTAAATATGAGCTTTCAAATTGCATATTATAGCCAATTTTAGATGATTAATGCTCTTCTGAGATAAGCAGAGGCAAAGAAAATGTTAATTTAGGGAAGCCAGCAAAATGTTGATCCTTTCTCCTGAAAAGCACATTTAGGATTTAAATGAAAAATGCAGAACAGTTTACTACACATAAGCCTCCTCAACCACACATCTAGGGGGTTTCTTTCCCCAAGAAATACTCATTTTTCAAAATATATACAAAGAGCACCAAACTAACACTACTGGCATCCCTTTTCAATGGACAATTTTTCAGTATCTGAAGCCTTGGAAAATGGGACTGTATGGAATATTTTCATAATGCATGTGCTCACCAGAAAAAAAAAAAGAGATATATGTGAATGTGTATCTGCAAGCCAAATATTTCAAAAAGCACACATCTTTAAGATTTTGTCACCTTAAGTAATAGATTGTACTTTCCAGCTTCCAAGTATGGGTTAATCTGAAAAATCAATCCTAGTACTGCCTCGCGTGGCACTAGATGAACAGAGACTGCTCAGTCAGGACTCTACTCTGGATAGAGAGATTATCTAAGGGTTCAGACCCTTTTGATATCTCAGTGAGCTAACAGGGGATGTGTCCTGGGGTGCGGGGGCTTTTTATTAAGGTTTGAGTATCACAAGTTTTGATGAAGTTTCATTATTTTGCAGTCATATGCACACCATGTACACATTGTTTTCAATTAGAATATGCCAGGTGCCTGTTTTGGACACAGTGAAACATGCTGAAAACTTGCCTTTGGGATTTAAAAAAATTTTTTGAATTAAATTTAAAAAGTTGTTTCAAAATTTTAACAAAGAGAACTTAAATGAACTAGATTCTTAAAGAGGTAATAAAGCAGCACAATGTCAGTATCATTTTCTGGTGAGCTTTTGCTTGATGCCTGGAATTATGATACATTAGCCTCAGGAGAAAATACTAAAATGCATTCATGTACTACATGGCGTTTCCTGAGAGAATTAACTACCGCCTTCATTCTTTACAACCCAAATCTGTTTTTCACAAAACATCAGCACTTACTACATTAAAACCTATATGTTTTCTACAAATTTTCCAGAAGAACCTTTTCATTGTTTCAGTATTTTATATCTGCAATAATGCTCCATAATGACTCAAGCAAAGACGAGGTGGCAGTGTTCATTGTGGGAAAGATGAGTAATAAAATCATCAGCGTACAAATGATTTTTTAATTAGGTTTTAATCTGTGTGTTTAGAGAAGTTATTTCTGTGTGAATTCCACACTGATAATTTTTATCTTGGTGCCACAGCTGCAGTTGCTAATGGCAGATGCTATGGACACCCTTGAAGGAAGAAGAAGCAATAAAGAACGTGTGTGGAATACAATCCAAAAGGTAAAACTTTGAACTGAAGGAAAAAGTTATATTATTCTCAAAGAAAATGTCCATCTTGGGTCAAATCTGTTTAGAAGATGAAAAGAAATGAAAGTTTTCTGGGTCATTTTCTGTTTGTTTTCTTTTTGAAGTAAATACAGCTCTCTCCCTGGAAGTATAACCAAAATCAAAGCTGAATTTATTTAATCTGTCCCCTCGGGTCTGTTTCTTTCCAGCAAACTGTCATCATACATATGCTTTCATGATTCTTCTTCATGGTCACACCCATTTTCATATTCTTTTGAGATCATCTGCTTCATTATTGCTGATGATTATTTTTAAAGGCTCTTCACCACTATTTCAGCCTATTCCCCACTTTGTTTTCCTTTTTGTCATTTGCCATTTATTGTTAGTTAATGACAACACTACAGTGAACTACCAAAAAACTAGTGCACTGATGACTTCAGTGGAGGAGTAACGTGCGGGTGATTAGAAGCAGAGGAATATTCCTTTGTGACTAAGGTTTAAACACAACAAGCACTGAGATGCACCTGGCTCCAGGTACTTAGAAGCCTTGAGTGACACTGCGAGGCCCTCTGACAATGGAAGAGTTGGTAATACTGGGTCTCCAATCCAGCTCAAGCTAGTATCTCCTCCCTATTAGTCTTCTCCTGCCACTGTAAGATCCCACAAAGGGATACTGATGTCAGGGGTTGCAAAAGAAGTGAAAAAACCTAAAATTTAAGAAGTGACAGCCAACCCTGAGGGATCCCAGTGCCTCTGAGGAAGCATGTCCTCTGAAATCAACTCCTATGTCTTGACATATATATATAAAACATCAAAAGAATTCAACAAATATTTGTTGAATATCTACCATTCTGAAAGGACAGAGGTGTTCAGGCTATGTGGTGGATCTGATGTGGCCAAGTAGCCTGCTTCTTATCAATCAGTTCCCTGGGTACTACAAAAGAAAGGAGCTATTCCGTAAACTATGGAAGCAGATAGCAGAAGAGCACAGTTCGGAAGATCAGGAAAGCCATCTCTGAGTATGTGATAATTATACAACAGCTAGACAATGTACGTTAATTATCCAGGTAAAAGACAAGATTTCCACACAGAGAACAGTTTGCACCAAGAGTACAAAGAAAGAAAGCACACTGGAAAAAAAAAAAACTGACAAATGGGTAAAGAGAATATTCCAAAACCAAAAAACAGAAACAAGAGAAGCCAAATCAAAAACATATTTGTAAAATGAGTTGAAGATTTGAACTATTTGAGAGTGTGTATATCTGGAAGTGTTTGTTTGTTTTGTCTTTTTGATGTAGGCTCTCGCTATACAGTTCAGGCTGGCCTTGAGCTCACTTTGTAACCCAGTCTGGTCTCCAACTCCTAATGACCCTCCCACCTCAGCCACCCAAGTGCTGGGATTGCAGGCATGTGCCACCAGGCCCAGCTTGGAAAATGGTTTTGAGATGACTTTATAGCTGTGGTGAAACAGACTAAAAGGTTATAGGTCACCCAGGGGAGACGCGATGATGGCTTGCTCTAGAGTGGTGGGTGTGAAAATAGAGAAGCAGACAGAACAAGAAATATTTAGGAAGCCAAAGCTGTAGGCCTTGTTACTGATGGGATGCGGGAGTTGAGGACACAGACAAAATACAAAATGATGTCTGGATCCTTGCTCGAGTAACCAAGCAGGAGACGATGGGACCTGGTTTACTAGTGCCATTTATTAAGGAAGGAAGCGGACACAGGTGCAGCTTTTGGCTGAGAATATAAACTCCTGTGAATCCATTCAGGAGACAGAAACCACACCGGCTACAAGTGAGACTTTTATATAAAGAATGGTTAGCTAACTATGACATTATTAATTATGTAATTGGAAAAGCAAAGGAGAACAGTAAGTTATTATTGAGGAAGCAATTAAAGAAAGCCGACTACCGCCTCTTGGGCTGCAAATCACAGAGAAGTGTTTGAAATGACTAAAATTTACAAATTTAAAGCAGGGTCTCTGCTATACCATAACTCAGAGCTCTACCAGAAGGTGATGCTTAGCTGTCTCTGGTATCTCTGACCACAAAATGAGGTCCTAAAAGGCTGAGACCCAGACTAATCCACTGCTGCTATGTGAAATCACTGGGAGGTAAGTGGTAATAGAGGTAATTCTGCTACTTTTGCAAAAACTAAATGTAGGTGCTACTACAGAAAAAAATGTTTGTTTCTTGATTGAAGAAGGTTTCCTGAAGAGACACTTACAGGAAACACCAAACAGGTATAAACAGGAAGCAGAGAGAAAGGGGTAAAACCCTTGCCTTCTTTTCTAGTGCCCCCTGTTGACAGAGACTAACAGCTGCCAAACAGAAGGGTTTGTAAGAGGCCAGACCAGCATCAACAAGCTTCCTGGAGAAGGGTAGCTTTGGAGTTCAGAGACTGCGTGTTAATAAATGACACAAAAGTGAGTTGAGCTTGGGGTGCTGGCAGGATACCGAGGTAAAACGCAGAAGTCTGAAGTTCCTGTTAAAACACTGAATAGGAGTAGGAGTTGAATGGAGATAGAAATTTCTAGCCATTTACTAAATGGTGTTAAATGGAGTCATTTGATCGGGCAAGTCTGCTGGCCACTGAGAAAGAGTGTTAAAGACAAAAGAAATCTTCGAACAGCACATTTCAAATATAAAAGGAGAAGCCTACAAAGGGGTCTAGGAAGGACTAGTAATAAGCTAGAAATTAACCTAGTGCAATGCTGAAGAGTATCAAGTAATATAATCAAATATTTTTATCAGCTATAAAAATAATTGCTAGAACAGAAGTCAGAGAACTTCAATCTGCTGGTCAAATCCAACACTCAACCTTTTTTTTTTCATAAAGTTCATTGCGTATAGCCATGTCATTCATGTTTATATTGCCTGTGTCAACTTGGCTGAATTGGGTAGGTATCCCAACCACTGCAATCAATCACAGACTCTAAAATATTTATTCCTGACTTTATACAGAAAAAATTTGCTGTACTCTGACTTAAGGCATTACACTTCCCAAACATTTGCCTTCGTATATTAAATTCTTGCATTTATGAATCCGAATGGTAATATAACAACTGCCTAATTCTTTAAGCCTACAGATCCAGGCATAAAAGTGGAAAATTAACATCTATTCATATCATGTACACAACTACTTGTTACACTTCATTCTAAATTAGTGTTTTTGATGTCCTTGTTCACAGGTGCACATAGCTGTGGCTTCTCACTTTGTCCTTATTTTAGTTGTCTATGGCTATGTAGCAAGCCATCGTAAATATAGTGATTTAAAACAACACTTCAGTATCATCTCTCAGATCCACAGGTTGAGGAGAGGTCATTCTTGCCCAGTTTCTTTCATGCAGATCAATCAATGGGTTCTGTGCATAAGGTTGAGTTCATCAAAGGCTGAAATGGATGGACTTCAAGATGACTTCATTGACAGCTGAGGTTATTGACTATAATGTCTAGATGTGCTCTCTCCATATGAATTAGGATTCAAACAGCATCACAGCTGGGTTCCAAGAGGAAATTTTTCAAGAAAAAGGAAATAGAAACTATCAGGAAATTTTTCAAGAGAAAGGAAACTATGAAAGGCTTATCTCAGAAGTGCTGCAGATTTTCTACTATATTTCATTGACCAAAGAAGTCAGCCTTGAATCAAAAAGCTGAAGGAGTAGATTCCACTGTGACTGAAACTGTGCTACGTGTAGCAGAACTGACTGTCCCACCCTGGAAAACACACCTTCAAGCTAGCAGGAGTCAAGAAGACAGTAAAAGTCAGGGCTTCCCACGCCTCCAAGACTGTAACACAGCAGAGCCACTACACCTAACCACTGGGTGTCTAGAAAGACTCACTAGTGAGCAGCCAATATTTCCAAATTAAAAGCCCTGATAATGATCATAGCTTTCTAAATGGAAGCTACTGAGAGGTCTTTAGGAAGATGTGAATGGGAAGGAACAGGGTGCCAAATTTTTCCCAAGGGCTTTTAATCTGGTTAATGTGACTCTACAAAGGATGATCATATCACTTTCAGACAATTCCGGTAGCAAGTAAGTAATTTCCTTTTACTGCTACAGAGTTAATTTGAATGTGTAGAAAAAAATAATTAAAAAAACCTAATTGTACAAGCTACACTGTGTTCTGAGCTCACCAGAAGTTGATATCAGCATCACCACCTCTGAGATCTGTTATCTGTAATAGAAACAGCTGTTGTACCTAATGAAAACACTTGAAATTTTCATCTGAAGCACCAAAATTATAGCACAAGCTCCTAGTTCCACATAGTTAAAGGATCTGTCAGAATTCCCATTACCTAACACAATTTTCTGGGCTTCACTTGTTATAGGTTTATAAGAAGCCTATCAAGATGAAATCCGATTCATGAGTGCTGACCGCCTATCTACGTTTTCATCCTCTTTGAAATTTCTCTAAGGACCTAGAAAGAGAAAGAAAGAAAATGAAACATTTGTGGTTTTTTTCTTGATTCCCCAGAATTAAAATATATTACAGAGTTTTAAAAAAGTAGTGATTGTTGTAGTTTGGCTTTGTTCCAAAAAATTATGTAGTAATTAACTCAAGAAAGATACACGCATATTGGTCTAGGTATGTAGATACAGAAATAGGCAATTTATGTCAAAAAAAGGACATTTTCTGGTATTGGAAAGTTCTATGCATAGCACATTCAATTAAAGAGATCACACTTTGCTTAAATTCATCCTATAATAGAAACACCTGAGGAAACACAGTCTTTTGAATAGCCCACAGGTCAAATTGACACTCTGCTCACTCATGAATTCATCAAAAATCTTCTGGACACCTCTTCTGTGCAATACACTAGCCTAGACGTTGGACATAGGGTGATGAATAACACAGTGACCTTGTAGCACTTGCTTGCTACCAGAGCAGGCAGTAAAATACCTCAATGTAGAAAATGTTATATGATAATAAATTCCATGAGGAAGGAGCCATGATGGAAAAATGGAAAGTCCCAGTGATGGAGAAAA